TGTCGCCGCCGGAGACGACTCGCACTCGCGGCTGGCAAAACGCGGGAGAAACTTTACCGAAAACGAGCGAGCATGGCCAGGGGGGGCGAGTGTTGAGTATTCTTGATACGAAACCACGACGACACACACCAGTCGACTCGCATCGGTTGCCTCCATGAACGGCGGAGCTATTCTAGTGTCCACACAACACCTGGCTCCAACGTGGACACGCCCATAGCTGGGGACACTACTAGGTCACGCATGGCATCAGAAGTTTTATCTCTGGGCCCCGAAAGGCATCTCTAGCAGCGTCGTTATGCAAGCGCCCTCCCCTCCTGGGCGCAAGGAGCAGGCGCACATCGCTTCCAGGGAGGGGGGCGTGCTTCTGCTCACGCTCCACCCCCCCCCCCCAGCATGTGGTGAAGCCTCTGGGGGGGGTCGGACCCCCCCCCTAGCATGTGGTGGGCACCCCCCAGCAGTTCGTTGGCTAGGAATAGCCGCCAGAGAGCCGATTTTGCCCCCAAAGTTGTGAAATCGTGGCTGAAAGTCCAATATCTTGGAGAATCTGACCAGTCTCAAGGCTCATGTAGCTCCAAAGGATGATTCACCCTCGAAAATGCTGCGAAATGAGGCGTAAAATCAAGGGCCCGGAGGGTCTGACCACCTGACCACGAGTCTCTGGGGGGGTCCTCGGCCACGACCCCCCCCCTGTGGTGAAGGTGCTGGGGGGGGCGGGACCCCCCCCCTAGCATGTGGTGTGAGCAGAAGCACGCCCCCCTCCCTGGAAGCGATGTGCGCCTGCTCACTCAAGCGCCTCACATCTCGACAGAGCATAAGCTCTGGCGTGCGACGAGACGAGTTTTTCGCCATCGCAGCGAGCAGCAGGCCACTCGCCCACACGGAGTCGGGTGGGTCATCGGTCGGCGTAGCTATAGAGGCCCCATCCTGGCGAGTAGAGGCCCCGCCCACCCAGGGTACCCTCTCCGAGGACCCATTTGGGCTCTTTCGAGGACTCACCGGGGCTCTGCTACGCCAAAGAAAAAGAATTTTACGTCATGCCCAGTGTAGTCCAAAGAAAAGAAATTTAATGCCGGCATGAGCGGCGCCATCCTCCCAACCCGGCTCGCCGACCTGGCTCGGGGCGACCTGGCCTGGCTGCGCGGCTTCCTCTCCGGGCGGCGGACGCGCGGCACGTCGCTCGCGGCCCAGCTCGACGCGCGGCACGACACCGAGAAGCAGGACACGCTGCTCACCTGGGCCGCTCGGCACGGGCAGGCCGAGGCGGTGCGGCTGCTGCTCGAGGGCGGCGCGAGCGTCGGGGCGACGAATGGCGGCGGCGCTTCCGCGCTGTTTATTGCATGCCAGGAGGGCCAGATTGAGTGCGCCCGGCTGCTCCGCGAGGCTGGCGCGGCGACTGACCAGGCCACAGAGCACGGCGTCACGCCGCTGTCCATCGCGAGCGAGAGGGGGCAGCTCGAGGCCGCCCGGCTGCTTCTCGAGGCCGGCGTCGCGATGGACCAGGCGGACGAGGACGGTGCCACGCCGCTGTCCATCGCGAGCCAGGAGGGCCACGTCGAGTGCGTCCGGCTGCTTCTCGAGGCCAACGCGGCGGTCGACCAGGCCGATGATGAAGGCGCCACGCCGCTGAGTGCTGCGAGCTTGACTGGCGAGATCGGCTGCGTTCGGCTGCTCCTCGAGGCTGGCGCCGCGGTCAACCAAGCAGACGCTGAAGGACGCACGCCGCTGTACGTTGCGTGCCAGGAGGGCCAGATCGAGTGCGCCCGGCTGCTCCGCGAGGCTGGCGCGGCGACTGACCAGGCCACAGAGCACGGCGTCACGCCGCTGTCCATCGCGAGCGAGAGGGGGCAGCTCGAGGCCGCCCGGCTGCTTCTCGAGGCCGGCGTCGCGATGGACCAGGCGGACGAGGACGGTGCCACGCCGCTGTTCATGGCGTGCCAGCAGGGCCAGCTCGAGTGCGCCCAGCTGCTCCTCGAGGCCGGCGCAGCGGTCAACCAAGCCGAGCAGGATGGCGCCACGCCGCTGTACGTCGCGTGCGAGAAGGGCCACCCCGAGTGCGCCCGGCTGCTCCTCGAGGTCGGCGCAGCGATCAACAGAGCCAAGGACAACGGCACCACGCCGCTGTTCATAGCGAGCCAGGAGGACCACCTCGAGTGCGCCCAGCTGCTCCTCGAGGCTGGCGCGGCGGTCAACCAAGCCCGCAACGACGGCGTCACGCCGCTGTTCATGGCGTGCCAGGAGGGCCAGCTCGAGTGCGCCCGGCTGCTCCTCAAGGCTGGCGCGGCGGTCAACCAAGCCAAGCAGGATGGCGCCACGCCGCTGTACATCGCGTGCCAGCACGACCACCTCGAGTGCGCCCGGCTGCTCCTCGAGGCTGGCGCAGCGATCGACCAAGCCAAGCAGAACGGCGCCACGCCGCTGTTCATGGCGTGCCAGCAGGGCCGGCTCGAGATCGCCCAGCTGCTCCTCGAGGCTGGCGCGGCGGTCAACCAAGCCGATGAGCAAGGCGCCACGCCGCTGTTCGCAGCGTGCCACCAGGGCCACCTCGAGGTCGCCAAGCTCCTCTCCTCCTACGGCGCCTCCCGCGCCGCTACGCCCTTCGGCACGCCCGAGGAGGCCGCAAACAGCCAAGGCCACGCCGACCTCGCCGCCTGGCTGGTCGCCAGCCGCGGCTGGACGCCGCTCCAGCATCTCGAGGCGTGCCCGAGACTAGCGGCCGAAGGCGTGAGCGCGCTGTCCTCACGCCCATTGCCCCTCTTCCGCAGGCGCTCACCGTCGAGCGGGCGCGGGCGCTGCTGCGCGGCGGCGCCGACCCGCTCGCCGGCACGCCTTCTGCCCTCGAGCGGGCGCGCGTCCTCTGCTCGTGGAGCGAGTCGGATCCGACAGCTGCGGCCGTCGGTTCCACAGTCGCGATCCACTCTCTCGTCTCGCGGCCCTCGATGAACGGCAAGGTCGGCGTCGTCGTCTCCGCAAACGCTTCGACGGCTCGCTTCGGCGTGCGCGTGGCGGGCGAGGCCAAGGCACTCGCACTGAGGCGCGCACTGCAATGGTCTCTCCCCGACTCGCCGGATCCTCTCTTTGACACACTTCTGCCCTCCCTCAGGCCGGCCAACCTGCAGCCAGCGGCCGAGGCGGTGGCGGTGGGCAGGCTCATCCTCAAGGCGGCGGAGTGGTCGCCGCAGTCGCACGAGCTCTTCCCGACAGCGGCTCGCAAGCGGGCGGTCGAGGTGATGCGGCTGGGCTACCTGATCGCCTGGGACGAGGAGCGCTTCGACAGCCGCGAGGGAGCGGCTCCAGAGCTGGCGGACATCTGGCGCGGCTTTGTGCTGCCAAGGGTGGTGGTGCGATGACATGATGACTGCTTTGGTCCTGTTTACTTCGTGGCAGCCAACCCCCCAGGATCTCGCTCCGCTTCCGCTCTCGCTTGGGGGTGTTCGACTGCATTTGTTTTTGTGGCTTCTTGTTTTGAAACTCGACTGGAAGTGGGCAAGCGACTTGGAGCACTTGGAGGGTAGCCGCGTTTTTCTTCTTTCTGGCGGCATGAGCGGCGCCCTCCCAACCCAGCTCGCCGACCTGGCTCGGGGCGACCTGGCCTGGCTGCACGCCTTCCTCTCCGGGCGGCGGACGTGCGGCACGTCGCTCGCGGCCCAGCTCGACGCGCGGCACGACACCGAGAAGCAGGACACGCTGCTGACCTGGGCCGCTCGGCACGGGCAAGCCGAGGCGGCGCGGCTGCTGCTCGAGGGCGGCGCGAGCGTGGGGGCGACGAATGGCGGCGGCGCTTCAGCGCTGCTCGTCGCTAGCGACAAGGGCCACCTCGAGTGCGCCCGGCTGCTCCTCGAGGTTGGCGCGGCGACCGACCAAGCAATGAACGATGGCACCACGCCGCTGAGTGCTGCGAGCTTGGCTGGCGAGATCGGCTGCGTTCGGCTGCTCCTCGAGGCTGGCGCCGCGGTCAACCAAGCAGACGCTGAAGGCTTCACGCCGCTGTACGTTGCGTGCCAAGAGGGGCATTTCGAGTGCGCCCAGCTGCTGCGCGACGCTGGCGCGGCGGCCAACCAAGCCCGGCAGAACGGCGCCACGCCGCTGTACATCGCGTGCTACAAGGGCCACCTCGAGATCGCCCAGCTGCTTCTCGAGGCGGGCGCGGCGATAGAGCAGCCCATGGACGACGGCACCACGCCGCTGAGCGCTGTGAGCTTCAACGGCGAGATCGAATGCGTCCGGCTGCTCCTCGAGGCTGGCGCCGCGGTCAACCAAGCAGACGCTGAAGGCTTCACGCCGCTGTACGTCGCGAGCCAGCAGGGCCAGCTCGAGTGCGCCCGGCTGCTCCTCGAGGCCAGCGCTTCAGTCGACCAGGCCGATGAGCAAGGCGCCACGCCGCTGTTCATGGCGTGCCAGAAGGGCCAGCTCGAGTGCGTTCGGCTGTTGCGCGACGCTGGCGCTGACATCGACCAGGCCCAGGAGAGCGGCGCCACGCCGCTGTTCATTGCGAGCCAGGAGGGCCATCCCGAGTGCGTTCGGCTGCTCCTCGAGGCTGGCGCGGCGGTCGACCAGGCCGATGAGCAAGGCGCCACGCCGCTGTTCGCGGCGTGCCAGGACGGCCACCTCGAGGTCGCCAAGCTCCTCTCCTCCTACGGCGCCTCCCGCGCCGCTACGCCCTTCGGCACGCCCGAGGAGGCCGCAAACAGCCAAGGCCGCGCCGACCTCGCCGCCTGGCTGGTCGCCAGCCGCGGCTGGACGCCGCTCCAGCATCTCGAGGCGTGCCCGAGACTAGCGGCCAGAGGCGTGAGCGCACTGTCCTCACGCCCATTGTCCCTTTTCCGCAGGCGCTCACCGTCGAGCGGGCGCGGGCGCTGCTGCGCGGCGGCGCCGACCCGCTCGCCAGCGCGCCTTCTGCCCTCGAGCGGGCGCGCGTCCTCTGCTCGTGGAGCGAGTCGGATCCGAGCGCTGCGGCAGTCGGTTCCGCAGTCGAGATCCGCTCTCTCGTCTCGCGGCCCTCGATGAACGGCAAGGTCGGCGTCGTCGTCTCCGCAAACGCTTCGACCGCCCGCTTCGGCGTGCGCGTGGCGGGCGAGGCCAAGGCACTCGCACTGAGGCGCGCACTGAAATGGTCTCTCCCCGACTCGCCGGATCCTCTCTTTGACACACCTCTGCCCTCCCTCAGGCCGGCCAACCTGCAGCCAGCGGCCGAGGCGGTGGCGGTGGGCAGGCTCATCCTCAAGGCGGCGGAGTGGTCGCCGCAGTCGCACGAGCTCTTCCCGGAGGCGGCTCGCAAGCGGGCGGTCGAGGTGATGCGGCTGGGCTACCTGATCGCTTGGGACGAGGAGCGCTTCGACAGCCGCGAGGGAGCGGCTCCGGAGCTGGCGGACATCTGGCGCGGCTTTGTGCTGCCAAGAGTGGTGGTGCGATGACATGATGACTGCTTTGGTCCTGTTTACTTCGTGGCAGCCAACCCCCCAGGATCTCGCTCCTCTTCTCTCTCGCTCTCGCTTGGTGGTGTTGGACTGCATTTGTTTTTTTGTTTTGCGGCTTCTTGTTTGTAAGAAACGGAGACAACTTCGAGAAGAAAAACGAACAAACAAATCGCCTTCGACGCACTTGGTGCAAGCCCGCGCTACAGCAGATCGAGGCGGCGTACCGGAAAGGCTCTCTCGAGGGGCTCAGTTATAGAGGGGATATGCAGATATCGCGCCCAGCTCGAATCTGTCACGTTCCTGTGGGTACCGAGCCACGCGGGGTGCGCTAGCAACGCCTACGCCGACGCCGCGGCGACGGCATACATGGGGGCCAGCGAGATTGAGGATGCCACAGCGGTCATTCGGGGAGCGGTGAGGACACGCCCGTGCCTATACACGGACTGCCGGAGGGCGGCAGACAGAGAGTGGGGGCGGGAGGTACTGGACCGGAGGACTTATTACGCCACACGCGGCCACACGAACGAGTGGGTGCGAGGACGGCTCGGCGAGGGGCTCACGGCGGGGTCGCACACGGCAGGGGTGACGGGGCCGCTGTGGAGCGATGTGGTCAGGGGAACGACGAAACACAAATGGGACAAGCGCCAGCGGATCAAGGATCAGCACGGCGAGCGCGAGATTGATTTCGCCGACGTGGATGATCACAACGTGGTGACAAAGACCGTTATGGGAGCGCGTGTGCGGCAGCAGGCGGGGGTGCCACACGGAGCGCACCACGAGAGGATTATGCGGGGAGAGGCGGGGAGAGAGACCCCAGGCGCCGCCACAAGGAGCGAACTCAGGGGCTGCCTCGTCGTAAGGCCGCGAGGGACGCGGCGAGGAGGGCGGCACTAAAGCGAGACCCGCTGTGTCCGATCGTGCGGAAAGCCGCGCAGCAATGGACCGAGGAAGATGAGAACCCGCCTAGAGCGACGATGGCGCACTTGCTTAGCGGCGCCTGCCTGGGGAATAGGGAGCAGGCCAGATGGTTCCTCAGAGTAGCGCGAGCGTAGACGGGGACGGCGATCAGCAAAGTAGCCCAGGCGGCACCCGACTCCAAGGATACGCTGAAGACGCTGAGGCGATAGCGCATGTCGCTGCGCTGAAGGGCTCACGCTATAGGGTGCTGGATGGGGACGGGTACGATGCACTAGCCCCAGCCGTCGGGGGGGTGTTGCCGGCGCTGGTAGATGATCTCTCGGAGAAGAGCCGGAGGGACCTTGGCGCCGGGGTCACGAGGGACTTGCAAATCGTGGCCGAGGCGGCGACGGGAGCGGTGCAGAGGTGGATCCAGCTCAATGATGAGGCTACGGCGCGCATAATGAAGAGAGAGGAACACATTGAGTGGCTGAGGAAGCTCTTCACTGGGTGGAAAGAGGCTCGGCCGGCCTTGAGGGAGTCGCGGAGGAGGAGGGATAACGCAGGCAACGCAGGGACGGGCCAACAGCCAGTGGGACGAACGAGGGCCGCGACGGCGGCTCAAGCGGGAGGGAGCGGAGACGGTGGGCAGCGAGCGAAGTGGGTGAGACTGATGATGCTCCTTCGACTTAGGGAGCGGTTCAGCTGCTGGGTGGGTTTTAGGTTGGTGTAAAGGGAAAAGGAATCGACGCGATGTGCAAAGCATACAAGAAGGGGAGAAGGAAGAGGAGAGACGCCGGTGATGACGAAGCAGAAACTAGCGCAGACGAGAGCAGGGCAGAGCCGGGGACTGGGGAGCCGGAGCAGACGGCATCGGCCGCAGAAGGAACGTTGGGAAGAGGCACGAGGAGGGCGGCGACACCTCGACCGACTATGGAGGACCCGTCGCCAGACGACGCAGGGCAGAAGACGGTGAGGCGGAGCAGACGCGCAGAGCGAGACGAGGGAGGGAGCAGGACTTTGCTGAGATCAGCAGGAGGATGTACGAAGAGATTAGGAGCAGCAGGGACCCGAGGGACCATGTGGAAGACGGCTAGTGCTAGCCCCCCATCGGAAGGACGACCCCGGCTAGTCGCCGACCACACCCACAAAGAACCCTGCACAAAGATCGTAAGGGCGGGGGCCTGTTCCTTTTTACCCATCTCACAGTAGAAAGGTGTCCGTTTTTATTTATTTATTTATTTGGAGCAACTTGGAGTGCAGTCATCAACCTCACATCCAGGGCCGGGGAGCTAAGAAGCGCACCCAGCGGGCCGGATGATCGGCATCGGGCTACGGGCTAGAGAGCCCTGACCCCTAGGGGGCTGCGCGTTCGCAGGGAGAGGGCCGTGTAAAATAAACACGGGTCTCCGAGGGTTGGCTCTGCGCTCCGGGTTTCCCCTACGGCTTTAGCAGCGGAACGCCCCCTCTCTACTCGGAGCTAGTAGACACCAGACACTAGCACGACAACACACACACTCCTCACCGACACCACCGCTCGGAACCCCCCGCTCCGCACTCGGCCTCCTTACCCCCACTCCGAAGGGGATCCTCCCTCCCCTCGGTCCTCCTTCCTGTTCGCCTTCCGATGGTCACGCGACGATTGCGGGGCCCGACCAGCGACCTCCCCTTCTAGCCTTTTTCGGCCGCGGCCCCGCCACCGCCTCGTCCCCTCTGCCCGACCTTGTCGACCCCGCCGACGATGATCCCGTGCCCGACCCCCCGGGTAAGGGCGGCGGTATTGTGCCGTGTCGCCACCCCGCCCATGGAGGTCGGGCCGGCTCTCCCTGGTCGACGACGGTCGCGCCCGCATCCGCGGCCTCTCTATCGTTCCCGGCTCGCCCCTCCCCTCCGCCGGCTCCTCCTCAAGCTCGGGGAGGCGTGGCCCTCCTTGTCGCAGATCCCGGTGGTCCGGCTGCCACTGCGACGGGCCTCCCCCCGGAGAGCTCGTACGTCCCGACTCCACTCGCAGAGGCCGCGTCAGCTCATCTCTCGCCTCCTCCGACAACTGACCCCAAGCTCCCCCTGGGGCCCTCCGGCGGGGGGGCGACCTCCTCCCCCACCGAAGTTTTTGCCCGGCCGCGCGCAGCGCTAATCGGGCGTCCTTTGCTCCTCCGCGAGCTGTATAGGGGCCCAAAAAAGTGGGAAACAGATGCAGTCAAAGATGCAATCCTGCCTCTTTCGAATGGCGGCAGCGCCGGCGCGCAGCGCCACGCCGCCAGGCGTCCGCCGGAGGCTCCCCGGCCGACACATCCCGGCAAGCTTGCCGCGCAGCGCCCCGCGCCGCAGGCCCGCCGGAGGCTCCCCGGCCGACACACCCCGGCTGCTTCCGCGGGCGCGCGAGCGCCGGCGCGCCGCGCCACGCCGCTAGGCGTCCGCCGGAGGCCCGCCGGAGGCTGTTGCTGCGGCCACACTCCGGCAAGCTTGCCGCGCGCAGCGCCCCGCGCCGCAGGCCCGCCGGAGGCTCCCCGGCCGACACACCCCGGCCGTATTCGCTCGTCCACTCCTCGCCCTTCTCGCGCCGCTCTTGCGCACCTCTTGCGCCCCCCTCTTCCCCGCCGGCCCCGAGAGACTTGGCACGCACCCCCGGCCCCGCCGCAGGAGGGGGGATGGTATGCAGCGATCGAAGTGGGTGAGACTGATGATGCTCCTTCGACTTAGGGAGCGGTTCAGCTGCTGGGTGGGTTTTAGGTTGGTGTAAAGGGAAAAGGAATCGACGCGATGTGCAAAGCATACAAGAAGGGGAGAAGGAAGAGGAGAGACGCCGGTGATGACGAAGCAGAAACTAGCGCAGACGAGAGCAGGGCAGAGCCGGGGACTGGGGAGCCGGAGCAGACGGCATCGGCCGCAGAAGGAACGTTGGGAAGAGGCACGAGGAGGGCGGCGACACCTCGACCGACTATGGAGGACCCGTCGCCAGACGACGCAGGGCAGAAGACGGTGAGGCGGAGCAGACGCGCAGAGCGAGACGAGGGAGGGAGCAGGACTTTGCTGAGATCAGCAGGAGGATGTACGAAGAGATTAGGAGCAGCAGGGACCCGAGGGACCATGTGGAAGACGGCTAGTGCTAGCCCCCCATCGGAAGGACGACCCCGGCTAGTCGCCGACCACACCCACAAAGAACCCTGCACAAAGATCGTAAGGGCGGGGGCCTGTTCCTTTTTACCCATCTCACAGTAGAAAGGTGTCCGTTTTTATTTATTTATTTATTTGGAGCAACTTGGAGTGCAGTCATCAACCTCACATCCAGGGCCGGGGAGCTAAGAAGCGCACCCAGCGGGCCGGATGATCGGCATCGGGCTACGGGCTAGAGAGCCCTGACCCCTAGGGGGCTGCGCGTTCGCAGGGAGAGGGCCGTGTAAAATAAACACGGGTCTCCGAGGGTTGGCTCTGCGCTCCGGGTTTCCCCTACGGCTTTAGCAGCGGAACGCCCCCTCTCTACTCGGAGCTAGTAGACACCAGACACTAGCACGACAACACACACACTCCTCACCGACACCACCGCTCGGAACCCCCCGCTCC